ATGGATTTTCCAAATCTTTCTGTGGATTTTCAAATCAAAGATTTCAAGGCTTTCTAGAACAAAAGATTAGCAATCCAGAGGTAGATAAAAGGCAACTATTGGCATTTTGTACCACAGCCAGTTAGTAGCCTCTTTCTTTCTTCCAGAAATGAAGGGGAACAGACTAAACATGCTGCTTTTATGTGACTAATGAGAGAAACTACATTTTGGGAACCTACAAACTGGATTTCTTACACACCTCTTCTCCTACCCTGCTTTCGTATACACTTTTTCTCATGCCTCCTTTGGCCCTTATCTGACCTGGATAACATCTGGAATTTTCTGCTTCTTCCTTCTCACTCGCTCGCTCCCCAAATTTTGCAATGTTGAGTCAGATCAAGATTTCTGAAGGACTTGAAAGAGATTTCTTTGCTTTGAACACATAAAGTAAAAAATGCAACACTCCAAACGATGGTGGTGTTAAGGAATTATTAGGCTCAAGGAATTCTGAGCTCAGAAATCTTTTTTTTTTCATTTGTAGACCAAAGCTCAAAACTTTTGTACAAAAGTTCACTGCTGTTCAACTCAGCATAATGAATTGTTGCTGAGATACTGAATCAGTTGCACCCATGCATTACGCTGAGGACTGCATTATGCTGAGGACATCTTCCTACAAATGCTAGGGAATACTGCAATTTAGCTTCTAATGACTGTTTTGCCTAGAGTGCCATCAACATATAATCCCCACCATGACTCATATGGGGATTGCCATGTACCTCTGGGCTTCTGCTTCATGCCAATAGAAGGACCATATTGTTGAAGGAACAGGCAATATATGGACAGTCTGTGGAGTATCTGTAAGTCCTGTGTCTACAGAGATAGAGACCAACAATTGATTCTACAGTACATCTTTGGAGCTGCAGCCTGACACCAGCACAGTTCCAGCTTGCTCTCCTTGCTTGCAGTCATCATGTTGAAGTTTAACTAAGTACAACTCCCGTGCTTATATAACATCTGGTGAAGACAAATGAGCTTTTCTGCTTCCTCCCTCCCTTTCCCAAGCTTTGCAGCACCCAGCTTGCTGAATAGTTCTGAAGGACTTGCAGTTTACACTGCTGTATGTAACTCAGTGTAACTATCATTGTAGTACAATACAAAACTGGAAATTCAAAAGATTAAAATATACAAATCCTTATGAACTGTAATAAATTGGGGGGGGGGATTCCAAAACAAAAAAATAACAGTGGGTCACTGATTTTGTACATAGTTTACCAGAAAAGTTAATACATACAAAATACCCCATTCCCCTTCATGGATTTTCCAAATCTTTCTGTGGATTTTCAAATCAAAGATTTCAAGGCTTTCTAGAACAAAAGATTAGCAATCCAGAGGTAGATAAAAGGCAACTATTGGCATTTTGTACCACAGCCAGTTAGTAGCCTCTTTCTTTCTTCCAGAAATGAAGGGGAACAGACTAAACATGCTGCTTTTATGTGACTAATGAGAGAAACTACATTTTGGGAACCTACAAACTGGATTTCTTACACACCTCTTCTCCTACCCTGCTTTCGTATACACTTTTTCTCATGCCTCCTTTGGCCCTTATCTGACCTGGATAACATCTGGAATTTTCTGCTTCTTCCTTCTCACTCGCTCGCTCCCCAAATTTTGCAATGTTGAGTCAGATCAAGATTTCTGAAGGACTTGAAAGAGATTTCTTTGCTTTGAACACATAAAGTAAAAAATGCAACACTCCAAACGATGGTGGTGTTAAGGAATTATTAGGCTCAAGGAATTCTGAGCTCAGAAATCTTTTTTTGCATTTGTAAACCAAAGCTCACAACTTTTGTACAAAAGTTCACTGCTGTTCAACTCAGCATAATGAATTGTTGCTGAGATACTGAATCAGTTGCACCCATGCATTACGCTGAGGACTGCATTATGCTGAGGACATCTTCCTACAAATGCTAGGGAATACTGCAATTTAGCTTCTAATGACTGTTTTGCCTAGAGTGCCATCAACATATAATCCCCACCATGACTCATATGGGGATTGCCATGTACCTCTGGGCTTCTGCCAATAGAGGGACCATATTGCTGAAGGAACAAGCAATGTATGGACAGTCTGTGGAGTACCTGTAAGTTCTGCGTCTACAGAGATAGAGACCAACAATTGATTCTACAGTACATCTTTGGAGCTGCAGCCTGACACCAGCACAGTTCCAGCTTGCTCTCCTTGCTTGCAGTCATCATGTTGAAGTTTAACTAAGTACAACTCCCATGCTTATATAACATCTGGTGAAGACAAATGAGCTTTTCTGCTTCCTCCCTCCCTTTCCCAAGCTTTGCAGCACCCAGCTTGCTGAATAGTTCTGAAGGACTTGCCACCATCTCTCCCTTCTCCTTGAGAAATATGGTGGTATTACCCACTTCTATTTTTTATTTGTCCTTTTCTTGTGTCATCTTTTAAGGCTGTTCTGCCTAAGAGAGCCTTGAATAGCTGAAATGTGTGCAGGAAGTTTTCCTTTTTCCTCCCTGTGTCAATCATTTCAATATTCTACAGCTTGACCAGGGATGACCCTGCAATAATGCAGAGCGGGGAGGGGAATACCAGCAGTCTCCTGGATGTTCCGCCTGAACTCTCAGGAGGTCTTCAAAAAGCTATGTATATCACTAAACTGCCTCAGGTGTGGTGAAGGGCTTGAAAGCTCCTGAGATTCAACTATCTGGCAAGTCAAGTTTTATGTATGGACTGGGAAGGTGCATTTAGTCTCTTACTTCAGGCAGCAAAATGCCTTGGGCTAGTCCTGACTTGTCTTGTGTAGCCTGAAGATGTCTAGTCCCTGGATCACTTTGGCTCAAAGCAGCAACATCCTGAGCTGCCTGGCATTTCATACAGGTGGGACCAGTGGCACTAAATCTGCTGTGTTTCTAGACTCTAAGAATTAATTTTCATAGAACAGCACAATCCTAAACATGCATAAGAACTGATTGATACTGTAGCTCAGTGGTTTAAGGCATTTGGCTCTGGAGCCAGAGGTTGGGAGTTCAGTTCCCCACTATGTCTCCCTAACAGAGGCTGGACTTCATGATCCATAGAGTCTCTTCAGTTCCCCACTATGTCTCCCTAACAAGAGGGATCCATAGAGTCTATTCCAGCTCCACAGTTTTTATCATCGTTGTTGTTGTTGTTGTTGTTGTCCACAATTTTTATCATCGTTGTCGTTGTCGTTGTCGTCATTGTCGTTGTCGTCGTTATTATTGTTATTATTGTTATCGTCATTGTCGTTGTCGTCATTGTCGTTGTCGTTGTTATTATTGTTATTATTGTTATTTACACAGATGAAAATCCCACTGTGTTCAGTGGATCTTGGCATATTTTATTCAGTTGCTATTTTAATTCATAATTTCATTCTCCCAGTATTGCATCTTAATCAGCAGCACTGCCAAAGAGGCTACTGGCACTTCAAAGGTATTGGCCAGTATCCTGTACAGCTTCCACTGCACAGGAAGTAATGCCAACTAGTTGGCAGACCAGGGGATTCTGTTTGTTGCAGTTCAGAAAGATAACCCTTTTCCATGTCTACTGCAGGGAGCACAAACTCTTCCTAAAGCAACAGATGACCTTTGTGGTGATGGCGGAAGAGGAGAAATCTAGCCGAACCACAGTTTGTAGCCAATGGTCCAGCAGTCCTGCTCGAAGGACATTGTACCAAATTGGGCAGCACCCTGCAAGAGGCAAGGATGCTGTTCTTCTGTGCTTGGTGGTCTTTACTGGGAAGGCACCTGGAGGCTGGAATCTCCTTGTTCTGGCCCATTTGCTGGCAGAATGAGAAACATTTTAAAGGAGTGGAGAAGCTAGGATATAATTGACTCTCTCCTGCCTTTGGTTTTCTGAGGGGGTGGAGTTAGGTATTTCTGGAAACCAGGGCTGTAATGTACTGCGTGCTCGGTCAACGCCAACCGTTTTAATAGCTCCTGAGGGGATTTGTGGAATTCCTAGGTTAGCCAACCTTGATTTCAACGCCATGCAAGGAGGCTGCAACACTAGCGGAGGGAAGGGCCGGTGGACGGGCTGGCTCAACTCCGAAGACGATGTAGGAACAACTGGCGCTTAGATCAGGTCAAGTAATCTCTGAGTGGGGAAAAAATCAGGGGGAAAGAGAGCTAACCTTCCTCTTCTCCCGGTGTCAAAAATGCTCCGAGAAACGCCGAAAAGGTCCCCGGTTCCTACCGAGGCCGCCTAATGGGAGACCGCAGGGGAAGCGGAGCCTCGCCAGCGATCGCGCCACACGCGGGCGAAGGAGATCATCGCTCTGTTGTTGTGCAGAGCAATGCCGGTACACGTGAGCAAGTCGCTGCTTGCCCGGAATCGGATCTGGAAGTTTGGGGATGATCCTGCGTAAAAAAGATGTGGATCCATGAAGATCCATTTTATTTTATTTTTATTTGCGCCTCTGCAAAGCCATGTGCTAAAGGATCCATGATTTCTGTGTTGCACTCTGTGGGCACCGATGAGATCTATGATTTGGTAAGATCCCGCCTTGATTTCACGGGTCCGCCTGTTACCCAGCCCCGAGTAGCCGCGACCCACCGTCCACCACCGGCCTCGCTTCTCTTTTCCTTTCCGCTCTTTGCAACAGATCGGGCGATGGAGAAGAAACACTAGCTTCTCAAATCGGAGGCCGACGGATCCCGTCAATGAAACCCGGGAAAAGAAAAGAAGGGGGGTTGGAGAAAGCGCCCTTCTCCTCCCCTCCCGTGTCCACAAACTTCCCGGCTCGCCTTCTCCGAGCTCATGTTTCCACCCCACACGTAAACTGATCACGTCTTCAGGACCCGCGGCGCTCGCAGCTCCGGAGAGCCGGCCGCGGCACCCCCGCCGCCGCTCCTTCCCACCGCCGGCATCCCAGGGCGCCGGTAGCCTGTCGCTAAAGAGGGGGCGGAGCTTGGGAGGAGAGAGAAAGCAAGCCCGAGGCTCCGCTCTCCTCCGATTGGCTGTCGGGGCCCGTGATGCCACGTCCGGCGGGGGAAGCCCGGCCTTGCTGGGGACCGTCCTCTTTCTGTGCTGGGCTCGCCGTGCAGGTGGTGCTGTTGCTGCTACTGCCGGCGCGGCTGCTGCTGCTGCTGCTGCTGGAAGAGGAGCGCGTTCCCTTCGCCGGCTGTGGAGCGGCCAGTCCAGAGGAGCGCGCGGCTGGTGGAGCTCGCTTGGCCGCTGCCCGGAGCCTGTCGGGCTGCCGCTGCTCGCCGTCGCCTCCCAGGCGCAAAGTTTGCCCGCGGAGACTTGCAAGCTTTCCCGGGTCTAATTAGCATCCTTTTCACCGCCGCCGCCGCCGCCGCCGCCGCCGGGCAAGCTCCGAAAGCTGCAGCCTCCCCCTCGTATCATGCCATTGTTCCGCAACTAAGCACTCTTGTGGGCCGCCTCGCCCCTCACGCCCGGCCGCGGTCCTTCCGTGCCTGCGTCTCCTCCGCGGACTTGAGCCGGCTCGGGGGATTCCGCGTTCTTTCGGCGATCGCAGGCTTCCTCCTCGGGCCGGTTCCTGGAGGGAGACTTCTCGTTCCCTTTCCGTCGCCCCTTGGCAGCTCGGAAGGGACTTGACCTCGCGGCTTGCGGGCGGAGGGGGGGCACCTTGCGCCCTGCCTGCCTGCCTGCCAGCCCGCCCGCCGCCTCCTGACCCGGTTGCTCGGGATTGTATTGTTCGCCGCCCAGCGCCCCCCACCCCACTCCGCCCCGGGGACGGGGTTTGGCTTCTTGGCGGCCGGGAAGGAAGGCACGGACGGCGGGCAGGGAGGGCGACTGAGCACCCAAAGGGAAGGTCGGACGGAGCGATCGGGGCTGCCTCACCGCCGGGTCGCTGCCTGAGAAGAGCGGAGAGCGAGAAGGGGCGCCGAGAGGAACCGCTTGGGAAAGGCTCGGTCTCTCCTGGTCGGCGGGGGATCGCAGGACGGCGCGGACAGGATGGGTTTCTTCCCGTGGGGATTTTGGCTACTGTGTGTCGCCGCGTCCTCCGTGGCCAGGAGTGACGGAGGCACCAAGGCGAGGAGCTGCTCGGAGCTTCGGCAACTCTACGGGGCCAAAGGATTCAGCCCCAACGTGGTCCCCCAGGCGGAGATCTCGGGTGAGTAGGAATGGGACGGCGCCACTTCCCTAGTCCTAACCCCCTAACCCCTTCCCTCCACAGTTCCACGCGTGTTTGTTGGGGCAGGCGAGGCGAGCCTCGCGGAGATGCGCGGCTCAGGCAGCGCCGGGATTTCGGTGGCCGGGCGGAGGGAGACGCGACTTGGATTGAGCCTCGCAATCTGCGCTTTCTGACCCCAAGGGACATATGAAGTCGTTGCAGAGCAGACGCTCCTTGAGCATGTGCAGAGTGTGGGGCCTTTCCCCTTCAGAATTCTGACTGCTAGGGTTAGGGTTCAGGGCCGCTTGCTGAGGCAACCTTCCCTCTTCAGTGGTTGCCACCAGAAATCTGACTGCTAGGGGTTAGGGTTCAGGGCCGCTTGCTGAGGCCAGGGTGTGTGACTTTAAGAATGTCTGAAGCCCAGGACCTTTCAATGAAACGCTTGTGCCTCATAAAGTTGCAGGATAAATTCTGTGGTGAACCTAGGGAGGAGAGACATATCTAAACGGGTGTCCTCCAGGTGTGTCAGGTTATAACACTAGCTATTCCCAGTGGAGTAATGGGAGTTGTAGTCCTGCACATCTGGGGACCAGAAGGCTAGGCAAGGATTGCTGCCTTTAGCTAAAGAGATGGCCGAAATAATTCATTATTTGGTGGTTTCCCTTAAACCCTAACCCCCCCTTTTATTGTTGGGGGTGTTAGTCATGGCTTCATCACCACTGCCTTTCAGTTGTCAATGTTTCCTGGAACTTCATTTTATGTTGAGTCTGTTCTTGTAAAGCCACCATCTGCTGAAGATTTTCTTTTTAAAGAAGAGGTCAAATCTCTGCTTGGGAGACATTTCCTTCAAATCAAGAAGACACAGCCACCAGCACCGTTCCTGGTGCCAAAACTTCTGCCTCCAGACAGAATGTTTGTTGAGGTTTATATATGGGTTTTTTGGTTTCCCTCCCCCAGTGTTCTGCAGTATGGTGAGGATAGTGGGGGTGGTTGCGGCGGCTTGTAGAAATAGATTTGTGCCCTTAGCATATGGCTGTGACACTGTGCAGAATTTGAGCCAGAAGCATGGTGGTGGTGGATAATTAGAAACTTGTGATTTGTTTGAAACTTAGAGAAACTGCACATGTTAATAAGGGAAGAGATGTTGGGTTTCATTCTCTTTCTGAAAGGAAGCAGCTTAAAGACGGGCTGACATTGCTGGGGTTTCAAAAAAGATACACAGATGGCCAGCTGTTGGAGGAGGTGAGCTGCAGTTGAAGACAGAGGCAATTTGGACACATCTGTTGCAGAATTGAATTGGGTTGCTGTAAAATAGTCACTCCCTCTAGATGTATGAAAGGCTTCCTGATTTTTAATAGACAAACACAAAGGGTTGTTTAAAAATGCCGCTGCAATTTACAATATGGGGAAAAACACAAAAACTTTGATGGGAAGAGAACAATTTTTTTGCTGGCTTGTAAGAACTTTCCCATTCAAATGCAAACATTGGGTAGTTCAGAGTAAGCATCAAAGCTACCCCATGCAAACATCTCATTAAAATCATACTTCACCCCCACTTCCTTTATTAATATTTTGGTCTGATCAGTCCTTTCTTGATTAATATACGGTTCCAGGTATCCTCTCCTAGTCTGTTGTTTGCATATGTTGGCTAGTCCTTTTGCATAGGAAGAGCTTTCTTTGTTTTTTTTTTAATGGTGACTTGCAGGGCACACAAAAACTGGGCAAAGAAACAAATGGAAGAAATGTTTCCTTCAGTCAAATGCTAGATGAAGATGAGGGTAGAAAGAGTGCCCCCTACAGAATAATGTCAGTTGTCCTGCTTAGATACAGTCACAGTTCTTCTGGTTTATTTATTTTTTTAAAGGGAGAAATATTTTCATGTTGCTCCTACTCAATCATTGTTTCAGGAGAAAAGTTTTTTAAAAAAAAAACAAACCCAAAACTTTATGTAATGGAATGGAGAGTCAAGTTTCTTTTCACAGCTGTCATCCTGTGCTTACTTTCTGGGCAGTATGTTCTTCAGAAGAAAAATTCACAGGTTACTTTTGTCTGGGCATGCCTAGTGTCGACCTGCGTGACACATACCCACAGTTGTTCACAAGAACTAATGATGAATTTTGACAATTAACACAGATTTTGTTTTTACTTGGCCATTTAAACCAGGGGGCTTATTTGTCACAGTTCTGTCACAGAGCCAGATGTTTTACTCATGAGCTCAGTATTCCAAATACAGGCAGGAATCTTTATAGGTGTGGTGGCAATAGCATTAAAAAGATTTTGAAGAAATCACCTTCAGGTGGCTGAAATAAAATAACAGCATCCTCGAATTGCCACATGATATCTGTTCACTTAGTATCTGATTACTTCTGTTAAGGTGGTCCTTTGTTACTATGCTTTAAGTCCAGACTCTTGCCACCAAGGCAGATTGATTTAAATCAAAGGAATCATATTGCCCATTTTGACATTTCCAGAACATATGTGTATGCTGACTGTCGGCCTTTAACACATACTGGTTTGTAACTATTTAGAGACTTTATACAATCTAGGAGCATAATCCACAGTCTTAGGTTAAGTGTTTGTGACCCTTTTGTCCTTCGAACCCTCTCGTTTGCAAAAGATGTGAGCAAACTGAACTGTTATTCTCATACACACCGGTTGGGAAAATGCTCATCTTGTCCTGAGTCTGGTATTGCATCCACTTGAACCTTTCTGATAGAATTTGGATCCAGTCTTTCCCCCTGTCCCCCAGTCCTCTAAAATGTGCCATCCAAAACCCCTACTTCATTGGCTTCTACTATTCTGAACATGGAGAATGACAGTCATTCTGACACCTGGAGTGCTCTCTACTCCAGTGTCCTAGAAAGCACCATTCCTGGGAAAAGTGCTTTTTTTTCTGAATCTGCTGTTGCTTTGTATCTTGTGGGAAGAACAGGCTGGACAGTGGAAGGGAGACATAAGAGAGATAGCCTGCCAGTGGAAGAGCAGCCAGGGAGAGTGAGTTTGAAATCTGCAGACTTGTGGGTGGGTAGAGGGCAGGCAAGAAATGGCTTACATTTTCTCCACCTTGGATTTGAATCTGAGGCAGAGGAGAACTTGGATTACAATTGTCACCCTCATTAAAAAGCCGTTACATGTTATCTGAGGATATGTGTTAATAACAAGGGCATAAAAAGCTATCCTATGGTGCCTTTTGCCAGCATGTTGTCATATGCATTGATGTTACCTAAGTACCATCCTGAGAGCTGGTAGAAGGAGTATAAAGTGAAAATACTGGAGCTTGAGAGTCTACTGTCTTGTGAGCCATCTGCTTACACCACTGCCAGATGGGTACTTTAAAAGGAATTCTTCATGTTCCTTGGTTATTGGCATATGTGCTTCAAATTGGTGAGAATGTGGAAGGCTGCATCTATGTTGCTCTAGTAGCTATATGAGATCTAGCACATTTTGGTAGTTAATGTGTTGCTGTGCAATGTCTGCTTGCCTCTGACTTACGGTGAGTGTAAGAATTAATGGCCCTATCATTAACAGCCCTGCTCATGGCTTGCAAACTAAAGGCTGTGACTTCATTTACTGAGTCAGTGTTTTGCCAGACCAAAGCCTAAATCCACTTGGTAATCCCCACTACAGTTGCCTGGTCGAAGAAATGGTTGAATGCTGACTTAAGATCTATGCAAATCCCATTGATTCAGGGGGTTATTTTAGTTGATATAGCCAGGTGGATTCAAGCCTGTGTGATGCAGACAGTGAGCAAAGTTAACAGGCTGTGAATTTTATATTGGAGGATGGCTGTGTTCCTGAAAGAAGGGGAAAAAATCATTTAAATCCATTTATTTAACAAAGTGCTGCAAACTACTCAGCAGGAACCAGCCAAAGTGATTTGGCTGCTCCAGGCAAAAGACATGGTAGTATCCTTCCTACTCCATATTCAAAAGCTAGCTTCTCTTTCAGTTGAATCTTTCTCCAGCCTTGGTGATGGGACAGCATGTTCCACTGCATTGAAAGGAAGAAGATTAGTCTGAGGGGCATAGGATAATCCACATGGTACACATAGGTCTGTCCTCCAACATCTTGCTTCTGCCTTCTAGCAGTTGCCTCACTCTGCCTAATGATAGGGCCAGCCCTGCTACTGGTCCTACCATTGGGTAAAACTGGCAGTAAGATTCTTGCTGGTTCTGTTTCCAAATTCCTCACTGTCCCCCATATATTGTGCTCCCCTTGCTGCTTTACTCTTCCTTATCCATATACCACCCCATTGTATTCTTCTGCCTTCTTTCAAGCCTAGTCTCAGTGAGCACAGCTTCTTCCCTTTCTAGCTTCCTTACAAAGGATTTTTCATTCATTGAGCCCTAGAAAAACAGCTACAATCTCCCAAAGCTCTTGAATGGGCTGCTCTTCCTCCCCTTCCTTTCTTCCTCAGCCAAACCTCTGACTAGGGATTCCTAGTTGGATAGCCCATTGAAATGGCTACTGCTAAGCTTCTTTCAGCCCCACTCCACCCAACTGCCAATATGTTCCTGTATAGAATGGTATAAGAAATGGAATGGTAAGGAGAGATAGGTTCCTTGGTCAGGGTAGCTTTGATTTAAATTAAATCATTTTATATTACTTCAGAAAATTGAATTTAATTATATGATTTTTTACATGAAAATGTGCTCTCTTGTTTGCTATTACCTTACTATATAACCTTAGTACCTATTTTTCACAATCTTCTTGCCCAAATTGAGTTTCCCTCCAAAAAGTCTCCATTTATTGACACTTCAAGAGTCTGAAAATGGGCACTTACAAAGGGAGAGGTAAACGTCTTGGCCTTGTCTACTTAGAGTTGTCAGGAGCAATAGCTAGATTGCCAGTGTAAACGACTCAACATCTCTCATAAAGCAATCCTAGGCTTCCAAGCATTCCCAGGCTTGTATCATGTTGTTATATGCCATCAAGTCACTTCAGACACTTGATGACCCCATGATGTATTTTATATTTCTTTTAATTGCTTTTAATTCACT